AGAGAGATTTTTAATATTTATTTTTTAGTTTTCAGTGGATACAACATCTTTATTTTATTTTTATGTGAGGATTGAACCCAGTGCCCTGCGCATGCCAGGCGAGTGCGTTACCACTTGAGCCACATCTCCAGCCCTACCAATCCCTCTCTTGATCTTTCTTTCTCATGGCATTATATAACAATCCCCATTTTCAACACACTTATGGCAACATATCTTCTTTTCAAATTAATGAAAGTATATTGCATTTATAGAAGGTGCTTGAGGTGAGTGGTTGTCTCTCACATTCTTTCATGTTCTACTTTTGGGGTACTGTAGTAAAATTAGGAGCCATGATAAACAGTGGTTAAACAAATATGTGCATACTACAGATGCTATGATATGATATGGGGAAATGTGTCTATCTTTGGAGAACTGGAATCAAGTTTGGCTCAAGCTTACCCCACTCCCACTGCCTCCCACACATGTGGTTTCCTTCCATTGATAAAACTGTTCAAAGGTTTCTGGATGAATCTTCACACCTTCAGTGGGAGAGGAGGAATACAGCTGCTGTTTTACAGATAAGCAACATAAGCTTAAGTAACTAGTCAAGATTATGTAATTAAGTAACTAGTCAAGATTATGTAATAGCAATAATACTGAGAATCAATATCCAGGTTCTTTTTCCTTCCCACTTTTTTTGTTTTTTTACAATGGTTGTTTTTGCTGTGCAAATGGTGAGGGAGGTGAGAATTATCCTTGGTGGGTGTTTTAGTCAGCTTTTTCATTGCTATTACTGAAAGACCTGACAAGAACAGTTAGAGAAGGCAAAATTTATTTGGGGGTTCATGGTTTCAGAGTTCTTAGTTTATAGATGGCTGACTCCATTCTTTCGGGCTTGAGGTGAGGCAGAACTTCATGGTGGCAGGGTGTCATAGAGGAAAGCAGCTCAAGAAATGGCTCTGGGAAGCAAAGAGAGAACTCTGCTCAACTAAGACAAAATATATTCCCAAAGGTACACCCCCAATGATCCACACCTTCCATATACACTGCACCCGCCTTCAGTTACTACTCAGTAAATTCCTATCAGGGGTTAGGGTTAGGGTTAGGGTTCACTAATTGTGTTAAGGCTCCTGTAACCCAATCATTTTACTTCTAAATGTTTTGCATTTTTTTCGCACATGGGACTTTGGGGGACACCCAATATCCTCAAACATAACATTAGGAGAAGGAGATAGATTCCATTCATTTTGTTTGCATGTGGAATAATTGTAATGGAATTAAATTTAACTTTGTCCCCGGTGCTTTCTCACAGAATGCAGAGAATGTCATCCAGGTGCATATCTTTTCAGAGCTCAAATCATTTCTCAGAAGAGATCTTAAAATTTAATGAGAAAATAAATGTGGAAAAAAAATCTACACTGAGATCTAGCTTATACATTGTTGGTCCTATCAGCAACTTCTTGGATAAGGCGTTTTGCCTTCCTGAGCTTATTTGCCAAGTGGAAACAGTAGAGACAGAAAGGACATAAAGAATGACTTAATGTAATATTTTCTTACACCTTTGTAAGTTGTTTTCCCAAAATTTCAAAGCACCCCTATTGGGGAGAAAGCTGGCTGAATATTGGGGAGAAGAGGAACTGCAGTGGAAGATAGAGACAAAGACTTGACATGTCTTTGAATCTTACCTGCTTTTCAGATTCTCGTCTAGCCCATAACTAAGTATCCCAATTTCAGGTGCTAATTCTTTCATGTGCATCAAGCTATCTGCTACAGTTAAATCTTCAGAATTAGGGGCCTGAAGTATTGCTACTTCTGCACTGTCTCTCCCAGACCTGCTTTAGTATGGCTTGCTTTCTTAATTAATTTGTTTGTTTATTTATTTTTTTGCATTGTTTTCTCAGAGGATTGGCTGCCATGACCTGGACCTGGGGCATTGGACTTGCAGGGAGTCGGACCCGCATCTTGGAATATCCCTGTTCTGATAACCACCTTTTCACTTGTAACCAACTCACTATCTTCCACACAGAAGCTGGTGACACTGGCTACTTCACATGTAGTTACAAAGATGTTGCTGACACCAATGATTCTAATGGCAAGGCCAGTGTATATGTGTATGTCAAAGGTGAGTGGGTACCTCCTACCTTTGGACTCAAGGATATTGTATTTTTTTTCTGTACATCTAGATACATATATCCCAAGGTCATTTTGGAACAAGCTGGAGTGTTTTATTTTATGGGGAGAGAAGGAAAAGAAGAGTTTGATACACGAGGGACAGACTTGTGCCTTTTGACTTTGGTGTGGTTTACCTGCACAGCTTCATAATTTGCAAAGATAACATTCTTTATCTCTGATCTATGGAAACAAGAAAAAACAATATGAAGTTGATTTCAGCTGCTTCCAATAATATTTTTAGTAAAGAAAGGAAATACTTTTGCAGTACTTACCATGTATCAGGGACTGTTCTAAGAGATTTACAAGTATTAACTTATTTATTTCTCATAACGATCCTATGAAGTAGGTATGAATTTTACCCATTTTATATGTGAGGCAACTGAGGCATACAAAGGTTAATAATTTGCCTAAAATCACACATCTGGCAAGTATCAGGGTAAGGATCCAGATATTCTGGTTATAGGGTTTATTTTCATGTTAATTACTATGCTGACCTTTATGCAGTACTTATTATGTTGTTAGCCACTATTCTAACCATATCATGTATTTTGAACCTCTTTCAATATTTACAGAAATCATGTTCATATATGCACATGATATAGTTTGGTTAATTTCATTCTACTATACTAGTCCTTTCCCATCCCTCCTATTTTCTTTTTTTTTTTAAATCTGTGTTGCATTTTATTTTATTTTTATTTTTTTTACATTTGAATCAGATGGGATATAATATCTCATTTTTCTGAGTATAAAGGTTGCAGAATCACATTGATCATGCAGTCACATATATACACACAGTAATAATAATGTCTGTTTCATTCTACTATCCTTCCTATCTCCCCAACCCGTCCCCTCCCCTCCCATCACTTCTCTCTACCTAATCTAGGGTGACGCTATTCTTTTTTTTCTCACATCTTCATACATATATTTTGTATAACAATGAGGGTCTCCTTCCACCATCCATGCAATTCCCTTTCTTCCTCCCTTCCCCTCCCACCCCCCTTCCCTATGTAGAGGTAATCTTCTCCCCATGCTCTTCCTCTCTTCCCCATCTCTTTACACCTCATTCTCTTTCCTCTACTCTCTTGTTTTCCCTTTTATATTCATGAGATTTGTCCCCATTTTTAATCTTTTTTTCTCTCAGTTTCCACATATAAAAGGAAACATTTGGCTCTTGGCTATCTGAGTCTGACTTATTTTACTCAGCATGATGTTCCATTCATTTTCCTGAAAATAACATAATACCATTCTTCTTTTTGGCTGAGTAAAACTCCATTGTGTATAAATACCACCTTTTGGCTATCCAATCGTCTATTGAGGGATACCTATGCTGGTTCTATAACTTGACTATTATGAATTGTGCTGCTATAGACATCTATATATAGGCATCACTATAATATGATTATAGTTCTTTTTGATAAATAACAAGGAATGGGATAGCTGGGTAAGAATGGTGGATTCCTCCCTAATCATTTTGGGCATCTCTGTACTGCTTTCCAAAGTGGATGAACTGATTTGTAGTTCCAGCAACAATGAATGAGTGTACCTTTCACTCCATATCGTAGGATTTATTGTTCTTTGTATTCTTTGTTTAGATTTTAATTTGTTATATATGACAATATAATACATTTTACAATTCATATTATACATATAGTGCACAATTTTTCATATTTCTGGTTGTACTCAAAGTAGAGTCACTCCTTTGTGTCTTCATACATGTACTTAGTATAATGATGACCATCGTATTCCACTGTCTTTCCTACCCCTATGCCCCCTCCCTTCCACTCCTTCCCTTTTTCCCCTTTGTCCTATTTGGAGTTCCTTTTATTCTCCCATTCCTACCCCCTAGAGCATATTATGGATCAGCATCCTTAAATCAGAGAAATCATTTGGCATTTGTTTTTTTTTGGGGGGGGATTGGCTAATTTCACTTAGCATTATATTCTCCAGCTCCATCCATTTACTTGTAAATGCCATGATTTTATTCTCCTATAATGCCAAATAATATTCCGTTGTGTATATATACCACATTTTCTTTATTCATTCATTTACTGAAGGGCATCTAGGTTGGTTCCACAGTTTAACTATTGTAAATTGTGCTACTAAAACCATTTATGTGGCTATGTCCCTGTAGTATGCTGTTTTTAAGCCCTTTGAGTATGTTTTAAACGAAAGAGTGGAATAGCTGGGTCAAATGTTGTTGCCATTCCCAGTTTTCCAAGGAATCTCCATACTGCTTTCCATATTGGTTGCACCAATTTGCGGTGCCACCAGCAAAGTATGAGTGTGCCTTTTCCCCTACATCCTTGCCAACACTTATTTTTATTTGTCTTCATAATAGCTGCCATTCTGACTGGAGTGAGATGGCATCTTAGAGTAGTTTTGATTTGCATTTCTCTAATTGCTAGAGATGTTGAATATTTTTTCATATATTTAGCGATTGATTGTATATCATCTTCTGAAAAGTATCTGTTCAATTCTTTGGCCCATTTATTGATTGGGTTATTTGTTTTGTTGGTGTTAAGATTTTTGGATTCTTTATATATCCTAGAGATTAGTGTTCTATCTGATGAGCATGTGGTAAAAATTCGTTCCTATTCTGTAGGCTCTCTATTAACCTCACTGATTGTTTCTGTTGCTGAGAAGAAGCTTTTTAGTTTGAATCCAAACCATTAATTGATTCTTGATTTTACTTCTTGCACTATAGGAGTCTTATTAAGGAAGTCGGAGCCTGATATTACATTATGAAGATTTTGGTAGACTTTTTCTTCTATCAGGCACAGGAACCCTGATTTAATTCCTAGGTCCTTGATCCACTTTGAGTTGAGATTTGGGTATGGTGAAAGATAGGGGTTTAATTTCATTTTGTTGTATATGGATTTCCATTTGTTGAAGAGATGCCTTTGTCTAATACGAGATAACTGTATTTATGTGGGTTTGTCTCTGTGTTCTCTATTTTATACCATTGGTCTACAAGTCTATTTTGGTGCCAATACCATGCTGTTTTTTTTTTAGTATTGCTCTGTAGTATAGTTTAAAGTCTGGTATAGTGATGCCACCTGCTTCACTCTTTCTGCTAAGGATTGCTTTAGCTCTTCTGGGTCTCTTATTTTTCCAGATGGATTTCATGATTGCTTTTACTATTTCTATGAGGAATGTCATTGAGATTTTGAATGGAATTGCATTAAATCTGTATAGTGCTTTTGGTAGTACGGTCATTTTATCAATATTAATTCTGCCTATCCAAGAACAAGGTAGATCTTTCCATCTTCTAAGGTCTTCCTTAATTTCTTTCTTTAGCATTCTGTAGTTTTCACCATACAGGTCTTTCACTTCTTTTGTTGATTCCCAAGTATTTTATTTTATTTTTTTGAAGCAATTGTAAATGGGGTAGTTTTCATTGCTTCTCTTTCAGAGGATTTGTCACAGATGTGTACAGCAATTGATTATGTATCATCTTCTGAGAATATAAAATACAGCGATTGATTGTATATCATCTTCTGAGAATATAAAATCCACACCCATAAATTTCGATTTATGGGTGTTGATTTTATATTCTGCTACTTTGCTGAATTCATTTATTAGTTTCAGAAGTTTTCTGGTGGAATTTTTTGGGTCTTCTAGTACAGAATCATATCATCAGCACATAGTGCTAATTTGAGTTCTTCTTTTCATATCCATATCCCTTTAATTTCTTTCATCTGTCTCATTGCTCTGGCCAGTGTTTTAAGAACTATGTAAAATAGAAGTGGTGAAAGAGGGCATCCCTGACTTGTTTCAGTTATTAGAGAGAATGCTTTCAATTTTTCTATTTAGAATGATGTTGGCCTGGGGCACAGAATAGATAGCTTTTACAGTGTTGAGATATGTTCCTGTTATCCCTAGTGTTTCTAGGGTTTTGAAAATAAAGGGGTGCTGTATTTTGTCAAATTTTTTTTCTGCATCTATTGAGATGATCATATGATGCTTATCTTTGAGTCTATTGATGTGTTGAAAACATTTATTGATTCCTTTATGTTGAACCAACCCTGCATCCCTGGATGAACTTCACTTGATCGTGGTTTATTATCTTTTTGTATTCCATTTGCCAGAATTTTATTGAGAATTTTTAAAATTTATTTTATTTTTTAAAATACATGACTGCAGAATGCATTACAATTCTTATTTCACATGTAGAGCATAATTTTTCATATCTTTGTATATAAAGTATGTTCATAACAATTTATGCCTTTATACATGTACTTTGTTTTTTTTTGCATTACAATTCTTATTACACAAATATACCACAAGTTTTCATATCTCTGTTTGTATATAAAGTATGTTGACACCAATTCGTATCTTCATACATTTTTTTTGGATAATGATGTCCATCACATTCCACTGCCCTTGCTAATTCCCTGCCCCCTCCTTTTCCCTCCCACCCCTCTTCCCTATCTAGAATTCATCTATTCCTCCCATGCCCCCCTCCCTACCCCACTATGAGAATTTTTGCATCTATGTTAATTAGAGATATTGGTCTGAAGTTTTCCTTCTTTGATGTATCTTTGCCTGGTTTTGGAATCAGGGTGATATTGGCCTTATAGAACGGGTTTGGAAATGCTCACTCTTTTTCTATTTCATGAAATAATTTGAGGAGTTTTGGTATTAGTTCTTCTTTAAAGGTCTTTTAGAACTCAGCTGTGTATCCATCTGGTCCTGGGTGTCTTCTATTTAATTGCGTGAAATTGATATGTTTAAATCATGTATATCATCCCGGTTCAGTTTGGCAAATTATATGACTCTAGGAATTTGTCGATGCTTTCAGTATTTTCTATTTTCTTGGAGTATAAATTTTCAAAATAATTTCTAATTATCTTCTGTATTTCTGTAGTGTTTGTCATATTTCCTTTTTTTCACGGATGTTAGCAATTTTAGTTTTCTCTCCTCTTAATTAGCTTGGCTAAAGTTTTATCA